AGAAAAAAAGACGTTTCATCCTGTGTGTTCGCTTCAGTTTCAGAAAATGTGAAAAAACGTATGAGAAATTTTGAGAATTTGTTCTTTTGTTTCGCACTATAGAGCGGAGTGGATTTCTCCTTGCAATATTTTGGCCCGTAGGAAAAGAAATGGGTTGGAGCTGGAGAAACCAGCAGCCATACAGGAATTGTTTCATCTTCAAAGGATATCTTCGGACTTCCCTTGATGAAATGGTTTCGTAGCATAAATCGCAAGTTCCACTCTTATAGTGCCGCCAAAATTAACCTGAGGCTCCTGCAGTGCGCTTACGTGTAACTTTTTGTAGTTTTCAGAAATCAGGACGTCTATTTTGTCATCGCATTCTGCTCGGAACCTACTAATCACATTCCACGCTTTTTTTCCCTCCAAGATCTGTAGTTTCTTGTATCGACTTAAGTAATTGCTCTGAAAGGTACAGAGATTGACTTCCACATGGAAATGGAAGCTGGATATAGCCCACAATTTGTTTTTCAAGAAAAAAGGTCTGAACATGTTTTACTTAGTACTGCATCTTGTGTGCACTTGCTTGAAATTTCCAACACATGTGTTTAAGCATTGGCTAATCTCTGGGGGGTGCAGTTGGCATAACTCCTGAAATTAACTTGTGCCCACACCCTAACCACATCCCGTGGGCACTAGATACACAATTTTCTGTACCGGCGTACGGACTGCACACAGTAAATGCTATGTTTTTTGTTCGCCGAGACGTCCGTTTTGTTAAGTCACTGCAGCTAGCAGTTCTCAAATTTAGCGGGCTCTGACCGTCGCTGCAAGGTTTTTCCCATTTTTTTCCCCTATTTTAAAGCTCACGAGGCAATGGTCCGAGAAAAAAACTGGTTGGACGCTATACTCACGCACTTGTTGTAACATGTCGCACGACAAATAAATACGGTCAAGACGAGAGTGGGAAGAAGCTTGAAAATAGGTGTAGCACAGACTATGCGTTGGTGCGCACGAGGCGCCTACGTCATCCAGGCCACAAGAGATTACCATGTCTCTCAAAATGCTCACGCTGCTATCGCTTATCGCAGTCTGCGAGGACTTATCGCTCTCATCGCAAACACAGTTAAAATCACACATCAGAACAACTGTTCTGTCACAGTCTACGTAACTGTGTAGAAACTGAAAAAAACTGTTCTCTGTCTCCCGCCTTATTCGGAGCGTATACAGTAATAACCCGCCACTGAACACTTGACAAATGAAAATCGCATAAAATAAAACGTCCGCGATCATCTGTAGTCACATGTAAGTTTGAAAGATTGATAGATTTTTTCACGAAAAGGAAACATCCTGCCGAAACACCAACCGCCTGACTCACGCACACTTCATATTTGAAAAGAAAAGACTTTAGCGCAACCGCGATGTAATTAACACTCTCCATTTTAGTTTCTTGCACTGCAAGAAAATCCGGATTCGCGTCAGATAACAAGCGTCACAACTGGTACTGCTTCTTCCTCGAATTTAAACCACGTACATTGAGGGTGGCAAATATGAGGGCCATATTAAAATTGCGAAGATTAAAGCAAAAACCGCGCAACTACTGTTTTTCTGACAAAGAAAAAAGAAACCCCACTCACGACCCTAGTGTTCTTTTTGTCCGGAAGCCTGACCGCGGGTCTTCCCGAGGCTTGACCTCCACCGAGGTTCGAGGCTTTCCTCTTTGCTATTCGCCCCTCTTGGACATGACCGTTCTCTACCTTTCGAGCACCGTGTTCTGGAGCCCCGCTGGGTGCTCGTCGTCCGGTGTAGCTGATGACGGGAAAGTCCGCTTGGCAGAGCCGTCCACAGCCTCCATTTGGACGCAGTAATCCTCACAATCCGCCTTTTGGGCGGAGGCTACTGACGCCCGGCGTAGTCCGTCTTCCTTGCCGTCGGGTTCTCGGGGCGGCAGAGGGGGAGTAGGCCCGCTGCCTGCTGTTTCTTCCGTTGGAGTGACGTCCGCTTGGGCTTTCACCTCAGCCGGGGGTACCTGGGGTTGGGCTGAAGTACTTGCGGATGTTCCACCCTGACTCCGAGGTTCGGGGTTGATGGTGGTCCCTCCGGCTTCTGCCGTCGCCGCTTCCGCCTCGACCTGGTCCATGATGTGTTCCGCCAGGTCTTCTTCCGCCCTCGCGTGAGCCACATCGGCCTATGTCCTGACACACTCGCTTCTAGTGTGCCCGAAGCGTCGGTAGCCTTCACAGCGGGGCACACGACACTCCTTCCGGATGTGGCCGGTCTTGCGGCACCGAAGGCAGAGCGGCGCCCGTCTTGGCGCCAGGATAAGCGCAGTGCAGCCAACGAGCCGGAGCTGATGCGGCAGGTGTTCAATGGTGACGCCCTCTTTTAGGGTTAGTCTCACCGTCCTCGTGGTCGACTGGACTCCCTCGAATCCACCGACGCGCCAGGTCTCTCGGGAAACCTCCTCGACTTTGCCGAAAGGTTCCAGGGCTCGCTTTACGCAGTCGTCGGGGAGGTAAAACGGAATCCAATGCAACTTGAGGCGCACTTCCGCCCGGTCCGGGTCGAGGATGATGCACCGCCTGCCTTTAACTTCAAAGGCCTTAACGTCAGCCAACTTCTCTTTGGCAGCGGGTGTCTTCAGGGTCGCCAGCCATACGTGGTTCATCTGAAATGAACCAAAGGCAACAATGTCCTTGAGCACTCCTGCATGCTGCAGCCCGGCCTTGAAATCTTCGATCCGGTAAGGCCTTGCTCCGATATCGGCGTGCAAAAAGACGGAATTCAGCAGATGCTCGCCCGCCGGGATCGGGGGCATGATAATCCTGTAGTCCTCGCTGCTGCGTTCATCCTTGACACCACGGCTATCAGCGGCCGTTGATACCGCTCCGACGGAGCTCATTGCGATACGTCTGCTCGCTTCGAAAGCCAAACGACGAATGCACCCGACACTTCTTACTCGATATGCCTATTTTCCTGCGGGGAGGGGAAATAGGCATATTGAGTAAGAAGTGTCGGGTGCATTCGCCGTTCAATATGCCTATTTTCCCTCGTGTGCGGGTGAGCCCTTTGGTCGCTGACCGTTACAGATTTATAGAGGAAGGCCTGGTTCACACTTGCGAATCGGCGGGCAAATTTGCAAGAATTCGGCCGCCGGGCGTAGCGTCCGCTGTGCATTGCCGCGACCGATTCCGCGTCGGCGGCAGCAGATTAGCTGTAAGTTTGAACCAGGCCGAACACACAAAACACGGCGGAAAAGACAGCCGTGTGTAAAAAGTGTTTGCATTTGAAACATGTGGAGGTAAAATCTATAATGTTAATCCGTTGCAAAAGATAATGATGTATTAACAATAAATCTTAAACCTGTCATGAAAAAGTTCAAATATGTGTTATTTTCTTGCTTGGCCAGTGTTATGAGCAGTCCGGCTAGATCGAATTAGGTAGAAAAAAAATTATTGGGAATTTTATCATTATGTATTCAATAATAAATGAAAATGATCGCCGCGCAAAGCATTTTTGATATACTCTTTTGAAGGACATCCGCCCAACACTTCACTTCCTCTAGTTGCAGTACGGGAGCAGACGCCTTCACTTTTGGGGCGTTTGTCGCACGTCGTGTCGGCGTCGAGGCGAGTGGTGGGGCTTGCGAGTTTGTGACTGGTGTTATTCGTGATCACTAATGTAACGGTGGTGTTTTTTGTTGTATATTCTTCATCCCCCCGAACTCTGAAAATTCACGCGCCCGTTGAACTGCATTCTGCTGAATCGCGAGCTCCTCATTTGATGTCGTACCCCTCGTGGATACTGCAAGCGTTTAAACAGTGTGCAACGTCTCGCCTACATCCCCGGTGACGTACTCGAACTGTTGAAGCTCGCATAAGATTGCTCCCTCATACAGTGCTAATTAAAAACAAGGTCACCGACTTCAGCATCAGTGTTGTATCTGACGGGCTAGTGCTGCTCGGAGTCCTGTCTCGACCCTCACGTGAACGAAAGTAAGCCTTGTGACCTCTATACTCGCGGGCAACTTTCTGGGGCTATGCAGTAAAAAGTAGAGCGCGTACGCTTGCGCACCCTGAATGCCGATTGAAGCCGTCCGCGCGGCTGTACAAAGAGCGCGGCGCACGCGCGCTCTCCTCCGACTGCATAGCCGCTAAGATTTCTGCGAGTGCAATCGGGAATGCATTTCGTAAAGGCAGAGGGGATAGTGGAAGAACTTGCTAAATTGCTGTGACAATCTGGTCGAGTTCCAACTTGAACCAGCAATCATGAAGTCGCAACTTAAATCAGCACCTTTTTCAATTAAAATATTTACAAAGTCTCTTGTTGTATGTTGTTTACTCAACTAAGTAAGCAGACCTTGCTCTAAAGAAGCAAAACAAAAGTTGTCTGTTCCTTGAAAAGTTTTACAATTGGGACGACTATTATGTCAGTACCAAAACATTAGATAAAAATAACTGAAAATGACATACAACGACTAGATATTTTTGACTAAGTACATGTTGTCTTGACATGCTATGCTCCCCTTCTACAATGTGTCGGAAAAGAGTTTACACTCCAAAATGGCCTGCAAACAGAAACTTGACAGATCAAAAAATGTCTTAACTATTTTCATGCTGAAATTTGAAGCCTGAACCCTGAGTACAAACAAAATTAGGAAGGAAAGACTGATTTTTTTTTTTCAACGGCGAAGCAACTGCTGCTTAGGAGAAACGATGTCGACCATGTTTGTTTACCTTATTCAAGAATGACGGCAGGAGCATAAAGAGGAGCTAGGCAGCCAAGCACATTGGTGTTTAGAACCTCTTTGTACTGGTCGTGCTATCTCTGGATAGGTAAACAAATATGCCCGTTGTCTGGCATCCCCCCGACAGCTGCCACTCTGCCGTTGAAAAGATCGTCTTTTTCTTCTAATTTTCTTTGTATTCGGAGCTCAGACTTCAAATATTAGCACGAAATGTAGCCTGTTACACAGAATCTAAAATTTCAGACTAGGACTTTTTCAAGCTGAGAAAAAAAATTTAGACATTCTTTTCATAGAACATGTAAAAGTTCAGCAAATCTCGACACTTCGTGGCTGGTTTTGTCTCACTCAGGCCGAACAAGGCATGCTCCAAAAAAGTAAGTGTGTTACGCCACTCTTTTGGGCATCTAATATTGAATACCCAGAAAGCTGCGAAGATGCAGCAAACTCCCGTTAGGATTGATAAAACCTTGAAGAGACATTGGCCATCAACGTAGAGGTTGATCTCGTCGGTCGTCTGCACCAAGCAGGGTGCAAGAGAGGGAGACCCCTGTATGAGTACAGGAAAACGAAGGCACAGGATAAAAACCATGCACTATGTGTAACCGCAGAATGCTGACTGACTTGAACTGTCACAGCCCAGGAATTTAGAAACATGAAAGACAACTATGTCCGCAAAATTGAGTGCAGGCAGCTTCATTGAGCCAAAGCAAGGCAACCTGTTTTAGACTACCATTTTTGTCGGGATTGGCGACATGTATAGGTCGCTGAAGTTACCAATTGCTGCAGCTACAATGTGCCAAGATCACTCAGAATTTCACTACAAAAGGTTACAACAGTGCATACTCATTTGTAAAACATTTCGGAAGAAAAGGTGCATACACTCTTGTGTTCCATTAACCTTAAAGGGGCCCTGCAATCATGTTTAAGCGTCTACCTTTTTTTGCGGTTTCCACGTCTCTTGGGATTCGGGCAAGCCAGCGGGCACGGAGAAAGTAACTAAATATCAGTGCGTCATATTTTAATCGGACGACACGGAAACCTCCTCCACCTGCGGGGGCGACCCGCGGTGCCGAAAGCGCGCGATGTGTGAAGTCTTTGGTCCTGGGTTTACTACTGGTCAGAGCCGCTAAAAACTTTTTTTTTTAGTCGAAATAGTAATTATGAGTGGCGCGAATCGTTTCAATTGTTTCTAAAAGCAGTTTTTGTTCAGTATTTTAGATCAGAAAACAAACAAATGCAGTTCATAAAGAACGGAAACAAGAAATTACCCGTCGACTTACCCCCCACCAAGCGGTGGAAAAGGCGGCGCATGCTATAAGGTGTAGTGGAATCAGGCACCGACGAGCGGCGAGCGTAGAAAGGTCCCGGATATATGCGGCGGCGCTGCGGTCGTATACGGGCTCGAGGATCTGATCGGTTCCGAGCGTTCCGAAGGCCTTCGGTGAGAAAGTTTGGCTTGCGGTTTGGCGATTTCATGGAATGGCAGTGCGAAGTGGCTCCCGATCTGAACTGATCTTTACCCTGCGTTTTTGTCGTTTGTGGCCAATGAAGTGGCATGCCGAATTAGTGTTTAATCGCATAGCAAATGCAATGCGAGCCACCCTGGCTGCCCGCTTCATACAGCCTATTCAGAACATGCTTTAGTGGCGCCCTCTCGAGCCTCCGACACACAGTGCAGCAGCCATGAGCGCTCGCTGAGCTCACTACCCCTCCTCTAGTTCACAGCCACTCAACCGACCAAGGATGTCATGAAGGAAGTTATTTTTTGCTTGTTTTTGCAATTTTAATTTGCCTATAGTTTTTTTAAATAAAGCGAAATTCGAGAAAGGAAAAGTTTCATTAAGTTACTACGTCCAGTGCGCTCAGGTTCGGTGCAAATTAAAATCAGTCAAAAAGTCCTTGCAGGGCCCCTTTAAATCAGTGATGAATCAAACTAACATTACGAATATCAACATTTTTCAATAAACTGAACCCATATTACAACAAGAACTTTCTATGCTCAAAGTACACCGAGTTGTTAGCTATACCCTGTCTCACCTTCAGTCCGAGTGCAGCGGATGCTACAAGTGTCATGCAACATTGAGCTCCGCATGTCACTCGGAACAACCAGAAGATCAAGTGATACTCTTTCAGTGCTGGATTGGCTAAGATCGCTCATAGCGTCCGCTAAATATTAAACAAAGTATAGCTAGCCTTTATGCTTCACGAACATATAGACCCTTTCAGGCAACATTTCATGGGCGCCGCCATCTTGGCGTCACGTGACCCTGCCGCCATAGCCGCCCTTCAGTTTCTCGCCGTTCCTCCGCGTTGTGTGCTGCACTGGGCCCTGCCGGAGCTTTGTTTTCGCGTTTTTTTACGTTCCGCGTTGAAATCGTGTGTTTTCTTTAGGTCTTTTCGATATTTCGGGCTTTCATTTAATCATTTGATATCTATATTTTAACATATCTCTTGTATTTTCTTATTTATGAAATGGAATCGGACAGCGAACGGATCGACGATACACGATTATGGCTTCAGAGACCATGTAAGTTCATCCCATTCTAACGTTTTTCTCGCTAGTAAAGGGCAGTCAACACCATTGCGACATATGCAAATTTCAACTGACGCAGTAAGGCTATCCAGTCGTGCTTCTCGCTGCATGTGCGCGCTTGTTTCCGTAAAGCCGACCCGCATGTAAGGGATTTAGCGTGCGACGAGACGAGCGACGGCGACAACGACGAGAGTCAGCGACGAAGACTTCTCACTGTCGCCTGTTGCATCGCTCGGTTTTTTGGGTTTTTAGAAAACGTCGCTCACCGTCTTGGTCGCTTGCTCCCGTCGCTTCCATGCGGTTTGCCTCGTCGCGCGACTGCCCGAGCGACAGTGAAGGGGGTCACCGTCGCTTGCCTCCTTGCTCGCCGAATCGCTTGCACGCGGTTTATACTTAATATCGAGGCGCCAATGGTTCATTGCTGTGTACATGGAAATTAATTGAGTATAAACCGCATGTAAGCGATTTGGCGAGCGACCAGATAAGCGACGGCGACCCGCTTTGCTGTCGCTCAGTCAGTCGCGCGACGAGGCAAATCGCATGGAAGTGACGGAGCAAGCGACCAAGACGGTGAGCGACGTTTTCTAAAAACCCAAAAAAACGAGCGATGCAACAGACAACAGTATTTGTAAATATAAAAAAAAAACAAAAAAAAAAAACCTCCGTCGCTCGTCTCGTCGCACGCTGAATCGCTGACATGCGGGTCGGCTTTACGGAAACGAGCGCGCACATGCAGCGAGAAGCACGACTGCGATAGCCTTACTGCGTCAGTTGCAATTTGCATATGTCGCAATAGTGCTGACTGCCCTTTATTAGCGACAAAAGCGTAAGAATGGGATGAACTTACGTGGTCATTGAAGCCTCGTAAGTATCGTCGACCCATTCGCTGTCCGATTCCATTCCATAAATAAGAAAATACAAGAGCTATGTGGAAATATAAATATCAAATGATTAAATATGAAAGTTCTAAATAACGAAAAGACCCAAAGAAAGTGCAAGATTTCAACGCGGAACGTAAATGAACACGAAAGCGAAGCTCCGGTAGTGGCCTGTGCAGCACACAACGCGGAGCAACGGCGAGGAACGGAAGGTCGGCTATGGCGGCCCGGAGTCAGCTATGGCCGCTGACTGGTGGCAGCGCGCGCTGCCACCAGTCAGCGGCGCGCTGACTGGTGGCAGGTCGAGTAACTGACTCGCTGAAAGCGTCTATAGTACTCACCTCAGTTAATATTTGTAACTTTTCGGAGCATCTCTGTGCGATACACTGCAAGCCTGCGACGACTCCATCACCTGAAGAATGAAAATGAAAGGAAGCAACAAAACACACAGGCTAAACGCTATACACATGCATAGTTCTTACTCGCAAAGGGTTTTGGGAACTTGCACGTGAAAGCAACGAAGGACATATCACACGTGCCAAATAAGTGCACAGGGCATGCATATATTAGATTAGCTCACATCCACTTTATTATTCAGCAGCCAACCTCTACTCGTATGACGCCTACTCCACGATAAGCCCTATCCGATTGTAAGCACCTTGCTTGAGATTCGAAATGAGGGCTCGTACAGTGACATAGAAAGTGTTTGGAAAGTGGGAGGCGAAGCTCAATTCTTCCCACTTTCTCCCGTACTGATCATTAGAGTTGTCTGAAATGTGTGGGAGCTCAACCACCCTCCTGCACCCCGTCCCGACATAACTGGACCCGCAGACAGGCGCTTTCGTGTCAGGTGGCTGTTAGCCACATTACAAGTCCGTTATTTCATGCATAACTATATATGTATAAAAGATGTATGTGGAAGACCATCAGAAGTGAAACAGCAAAACTGAAAGTTAGAAATGAAGTTCCTGCTAAGCCATTCACCTGAAAATGTCTCTGATAATGATACGAGTTCCCCCTCCTTTCCAAACCTCATTATTATTGTGCAGACTGTGTTCTGGCCAACCTCAGGAAGCTTTTTCAGATCCCGTTTCCACAGGATCTCAAATTCCATCAGCAGCTGCAAAAATGAGTTTGAAAGAAGAAACATCACTATTCAGACCTTAGCAAAGAGCTCATATTCCTTTTCAAGCCATAAAAGCTAAGTAGAAGCTGCAAGAATTATTTTACGCAGTCAGAACATTGGCAGAAACAAAAGTTTTTGCCTTACAATGTAGCCCCTGCATTGTGTAACGTGTGATACAATTTTCAGCGAGCCTCCTCAGAGGACCTACTGGCATGAAAACAATTTATGACAAAATATTAGGGCGGACATACACGTGCCAGGGCACGTGTGGTTAGCGCAGTGGACGATAAATGTGTAGGGGCAATGAGAAGCCAAAAAACAATGCCTAACCAGACAAACTCTGATGTAGTGTAGCATATTATCACTATTGTAATAAAGTAGAGATCGGACAGAATCTAAAGCTTACAGCAGTTTCCGAGGCAAGAAACGGAAACATCAAGAGCGCATCTGTCAGGGTCATGGTCATAGGCGACTCATGTCTTTCTTTTGCTGTGGCCAGGAGCCGCTCCCGGTAGTGAGCAGGGTCAACGGACGTACTGGACGTAATAGCCAGCAATTGTTGATGTTTGGCAAGTGATTCCTCAGTCTCCCCATACACGATCAGGTGCTCTTGGTTCTGCACAAGTGAAGAAGCACAATAAGTTAAATGTTTTTAAAAGATTTCTTACAAAGCTTTCATGTCAACTCTTTCTCTGAACATGCAGCTGCGAGGTGGAGAACCTTCACCCAAATGCACTGGTGCAAGGCAGTGAAACTTGATGCAAATGGCTCCGTCACAAACATTAGTCTCCGAGAGTTTTCTAGCATAATGGCCTGCATGTGATGTCATATCCGTCCTCCTTGCTGGTGTCAGAAGCCTGCCATTAATGCAATGGAAACTGCGCTTGCTCGTTTCTGCTCGCTTGCAATGCTCGTTTCCTGTTTGTAGAATTAGTACAGTAAAGGCTACACTCGAGAGGGTTTGGCCACCAGAAAGGACCAAAGTGACGTCAGTGCAAGCTATGTAAAGGAACCGTGCGGATCTAATTCAAGCCCCGACCAGGGCGCCCTTAGCGACAAGCGGGTCCGTCGCATCGGGAAGCTTCTGCCAGTCGCTGCGTTGGTTGTGCGTTGTAGCGGGTTAGCGCTCTAATTTCTGAGATGGCTATTACGCACCAAGAAAGCCACAACAATTTCTACGTGGTCGGCTGCAACAGTACGTACAAAGGCGCGCACGGCACGAAGTTCTACGGCTTCCCTTCAAATTAAGTAGTACGAGGCGGAGTGCCGCGCGACTTGGGTGCGACTTGTACGTCGATGCAGGTAAGTGGCATTTCTTACCTTGCAGTTCGCGTTTCGCTTTAAGCTGCTGACGAATATTACAATTGACTTTTTTTTCTATTCAAGTGACGATGAAACAGCATGGACACCTACGGCAAACTCTAAAATATGCAGCAAATACTTCACCGGAATCGAGAAGCGGAATACGGTCACCCACCCTTGGATGTTTCCATCAGCCTACAGGAAGATAGTAGTGGGAATCACGGAATGGCGCGAAAACAATCGCCCAGTTATTGTCAAGCTGATCCAGAAAGCAATAAACATCCATAATGCTGTCCACTCAACGCCAACCAAGAAAGCTCTCTCACCTAATCACGCGAGGCTCGAAGTTTTTTTGCAGCCGTGCTCAATTTCGTCTGCGGAGTACGGCACGCCGTGACATCCACTTGTCCGTCGAAACGGGCCTCCTTCACGTCATACACACGTCCAGATTCACAAAGGAGTTTTCCCTTCGTCATATTGGCACCACAGAAGCTTTTTCAAATTCGTAACCGCCTTAAATCCCGTCGAAATCACCACGGGAACACTGTCCGTTGTGCTGCTCGTCGCCATTGCATCTCCCCGATGATTCTGCACCGGCTACCGAAGAAGTTTTCCGGATTTGTAATCACCAAACAGCCAAACTTCGACGGGGACACTGTCCGCTGTGCTATTTGTCGCCATTACTTCCCGACGATTCTCCGCCGGCGGCACCGGCTACCGAGGAAACTTCCCGAAATCGTAACTGCCTTAAATCCCGTCGTAATCCCGACGGGGACACTGTCCGCTGTGCTGTTCGTCTCCATTGCTCCCCGGTGATTCTGTGCCGGCTACCGCTAGGTGGAGGCAAACAATAGGCGACCGCCGCGATGCGGCCGGCATGCTCGCCTCCTATAGGATTCGAGCCCTAATCGGAATCTACCTATCTCCAAGTAAATGTGGTATGCTGAAGTTCACCATAAACTAAGTAATTTTTCAACAACCTCTCTAGCTTCCAATTATGGTATTGGCATTGCTCTGTATCATTTCCATCATAAGCTTCATATTTTTGTCTTTTATAAACTAAAATCTCCATGTTAGCAGAAAGAGCAATGAGAGACCAATGTAAAATCGGTCAAGCTTACGTGCAAACGACACAGCTTTTTGTTGCGTTGCTGAGCCTGAGTGTTCGGACGTTTTGTGCCGAACTTGTCTTGCATCTCCTGGATTTTCACAGCTGCTGTAGATGCTTTACTTCTCATATTTCTGAATTTGTTGGAGAGCTGCTCAATCCAAGCCTGCTGTATTGAATGAAATGCCGAGAACTTCAACACTATTTTCTTGCCATACAGAATATTCAAGCTAAGTTAATAGTTTCTTTACCTGTCCATCTTCATCTGAGCAGTCCCTGAGGTGAGGGTATTTTTTCAGTAGCAAGTCCACAGAACACCGGTAGAGGCGCTGCGATGGATACCTCCAAATAAATGTCAGTTTTAGTACACCCACACTCTGTTTTTCAATAGGGCCTCATCAGAATATGCAAGCTTGAATTCTTTCAACAACAAACTCATTCCATCAGATTGGGTGCACATACTGCAGAATTTATGTAATGTCCTCTGAGACTACGTGTGTGGAAAATGTCTTATAACCAGACAAGACAGTAAGACATGCTTACCAGGTTATCCTAAAGCACTCTTGAAAGAGTTGTGACACAATGTACCTCCGTGCTTTTCCAGATATGGGAGTTATTTTGCTGATTACACTTTCCCAGTGCTTGAAATCAGGCAGGACAAACTTAAGGTAGTCATTCTTGTCCTCAAGTGGCACGGATGCCATTACTGATGGCTGTGGGATAGCACTGCTGAAAGAAATTAAGATCAACAACCTGCATGTAAGCTTTATGAAATCAACAATCTATATGCTAGCTTCATAAAATCAACAATCCGTTCGCTAGCTTCGTTTTCCCCCATAATAGTAGCATGGCTGTTTAACCACCAACAATATCCGAGAGCAAAACCGCATGTATATTATAGGGTGTCTTCTTATATCTTACTTTGTAATAGTTATTATTTATGAAACTAATATAAGGTAACATAATAGAGCACCACAGGTGTAGTATGATGCACTTAATGTGCTGTGCAGCTAGTTTTTAAAGATTCATTTATATGCTGGCAATATTAAGGTTACCAAAAAAAAAAGAAATACCTGAAGATGGAATTACCTACCTGTGTTGAGTTGAGTCACTGACTCCGAAATGATTTCCTCTGGTTTCGTTTCTGTTTTGTGAAATCTGGGTGAAAGAAATGAGTGCATGATTGATACCTAATAAGGTACAGAGCAGCACACATTTCAGGTTTTCATTTGAAGAACATTTATTAAATAATGTCATGCATTATTGGTAGCTGAATCCTATTTCTCCCCGTAGTGCGGTTTCGCGATAATCTATATTCTCCTCCCCACACCGCACTCAGGCGTCACCACAATCCCTCTTTTCCAATGACATTGGTAATGCCCATGATGCATTGTCAATGCTCATAACACTTTCTAGCATCATGCACAAGATAATTTGCGGGCCAACCAACAGAGCAACACAACTTTAGTGTCCTGCGTCATCCCAAAAATAAACCTTACAGTGCTTTTAAATCACAATTACGTACAAAAGCAGACCTAAATAAACTAATTTATTGTTTAAATCACAAATAAGATGATTAAAAATACTATTAATGCCTTATGCATGATCATTTATATAATTTTACTCGACATTCCTAATGTATGGTGCACTTGGTACAAAAGGGGGTGCTGATGATGTGTGTTCAGTGACCAGACTCCTCGACCTCAAGAAGGGACACTGGCGCGACAAGGAGCTGGTGTTTGATGGAATTCCGACTGGTATAGTCGAGAACAAACCATATCTTTTATTTGTGACATGACCTCACAAGACTATGGATTTTGGATTCTGAAGCTGCTGTTTTTGTTCTATAGATAGGCACTGACGTAATTTGGTCCTCCTCTCTGGTGGCCAAACTCCCTGAAGCGTAGTCTACAAACGGGAAAAGATTGTTGCGAGAGAGTGGAAAAAAGTGAGCGCAGCTTCTACTGCATTAGCAGCAGGCTTTTACTACTACCAAGGAGGACAGATATAATGCCATATATGACGTCACGTGCAAGCCATGTAAAGAGCTTCCTCCCAGCGCAATGTTGCACTGCTCTGAATAAAAGCTATTCAATGCAATGAATTGTGGAATAATACGCCGCTTTACATATATGTGATTTAATCCAAATGGGGAAATGAGGGTTAAGCATAAAAATACTATGCTGTGAAGGCGCTGTCAATGTGCTACTGGCATGTCTATAATAGCTTAAAACAGTTTTTGAGAAAGCAGGGGAAACACCCTCACAACCTGGCTACAGGATAACATTGAAAACGAGTTCTAAAGCAGGCCCCACTTTAAAGTGAGATGTCTCATCACTTCATACACAACTTGCATGTAAAGTGAGTATGTGACTGACCTAATACTAGTATAATAAAATACACGCTGTTAATGTGCCAATCTTTCTCAGTAGCTATCATTAGTAAACTGGGTTAAACATGTCATTTGTAGTAGAAAAAAAAGAAAATAATTATTTTATAGCGGTGTATATCTTAAGTGTTGTGAAACAAAATGAAAGAAGTTTCGGAGAAAAAATATTATACTAATGATAAAATGTCATTATATTCAAAACAAATTTCCTTCGGGTACAGATCGTACCGCTCACTTACCTCACTAAGTGCTTCTCTTTTGTGAATAACTTTAATTTTGGCTTTGTCTTCAACCATGTCATCTAGATAAATGTCTATGAAGTCCTCCACATCTTCATAAAATATCTGAAACTAGTAAGACAGAACCTTTGATTATAAACCAATGCTTTTTCTTGTAATGTACTCAGTTACACTAATGATCTTACCCTCACAATTAAAAGAATAAACTCTAAGCTCATTGATATGACCTCTATATATCGTTACCTAGCAGATATCCATAGAAATAATGCAGGCATGTAGCGGGTAACCAGGACCAGGACCAGAATCACCCCCCACCCCCCCCCCCCACCCTCCCCCCGAAATTTTCCAGTTTGGCTGGCAGCGACTGGCACCTCCTCTCCGCCCTCGCTCACCCCTAACCCGGGGCGTTTTGAACTCCCACAACAGTGCCCGTGCCAATTGGTTATAAACATTAAATAAATCAACATTCACGAGGCTTGGAACCAGGAATACGTTTTTGCTTACACACATGAGGATCGCGTTCCATAAATGCTCCCCGTTCTTAACACAAAAGAACTGCCTTGCTACCAGAAACTAGAAGTGTATGCACCAATGTGTAATATGTAAAAACTTGGCCAATACGGTACACGTAACGAACTCCGACTCACCAAAGTCGTCTCCGGGTGGAAAGCTGTCACTGTCCTAAGATTGCGGAGAAGTTCTTCTAATGTGCCATCCTTGAACTGTAGTTTTCTTTCTCTCCGGTTTCGAGGATGATCAGGTAATGTGGCATCGTTGCGACTCACGACCGCTCCTCGCAGGTCCGATCAGTATCGTTTAGTTTCGGTTCTGCTTCGTTGCTTTCGCGCCACGCAGTTCACCCCAACGTTGCCCGTCGAGTTTACGCCACATTGTTTTGCTTGTAGATGGTAACCAATGAAAGACACACTAAAATAAAAGAATGAAACTTAAAAAGAGTTTGTAAGCAATGTATCCTTATAAATATTAGTTATACTATCTACTGAACGACGACGTCCATAGAGTCATCCAATTTGCCGACTGCCAAACTGGCCAGGAGCCAAGGCTAGTCAAGATGAAAAAAAGAAGGAAAAATAAAAATAAAAAAGAAGAGATCATTGGAACGCAGACAGCGCAGTGTCAAAGCTCGGACAGTACTAGTAGTCTGTTACTTATAAATATTCCATTAGAGAAAATAAATAAGAAAATAATTAAACATCTTGATTGTGACGCTACTACAGGACGGTAAGTTTTCCTTTTTCTTCCCAGACTTTTTGCGGGGCATGAAGAGTAAGAAACCGGGAACGGTATCCAAAGTAGTAGATCAAAGGCGCGTCGTGTAACCGATAACAGTTGCATGTATAATAGCGACATGCGAAGGGCTGTTCAGTAATATGTCCCCAACAATAATATAAGCCACACGCAAAGGAATGTCCTTGAACCTCAACAAGACTGGAGCGGCGCGCGATATGATCAACGATTTTAGTTTCGTTTTGCTTCGAGGCGACTGCTGGAGAAAGACTAAAGACGCACGGTAAAGTTACAGGCTAGTTAGAGCTGTCATATGAGCGCGGCGAAAAGGCGTGATCTTCATATAATTTATTTCGTTATTTGGTTTATAAAATAGACCTAGTACCCAATGGTCTCACTAGGGTCAGCGGCACGATAACGATACTCCGCCGACGCCCTTGAGCATGCATCGCTTCGTTGTCGGGTATGGACGGCGCGCAACTACTGCGCGTGCGCATCGCGCGTGCGGCGAGATTATTTCATTGCGGCGCGCATCACGTCATCGGAGCGCTCGTCTGTCGTCTGCTACGCGTATGCTACTGTCAATGGAGGAAGCTCTGCATACACAAAAAACGATGAACCCTAAGATAAAAGCTCCACCAATGTGCTCATCTGCATTTTCAATATTTGTGAAAACAAATAAACATTGTGGCTTTTTTATGCGAAAGTATCAATGTCCCAATGTGAAAAAGCCGGCGTGTGGAGTGTGGCGTTTGTCACCCCACAAAAAGAGTCCAGAAAAAAAAAAGAAGACAAAAAAAAATGAAACAATTTAAAATATACCCACCTCCTCCTCCCTCCTCCTTTTGGGTACGGAGGAGAAGATACAGAGGAGGAGGAGTGGGAGCTGGCAGGGATGGTACAGAAGAGGAGGAGGTGCGGGGGAGGGAGGGAACACTATAACGCTTTCGCATTCCTACACAATTTTTTTTTCTCACGTCAGTCTGCATTAGCTTTGCGGAGCGCGCTTCCTGTGAAGTCTAGAGCTATCTCCGGCGCCGTGATAATAGATTAATTGTCGGCTAGCGCGTCTGCACCTTTGACCAGAGGTCTTGACTTCAAAAGATCGAGGTACACCTAAGCACTCCCCATAAGTTGTAAATGCAAAAACATGTACAGGGTGTCACAAAATAAAATTTACACGGTCTTTTTTTACCGCAAAAATAAACTAGGCATTGCCGAACGCTCATTCTTCGCCCAAAGGTAGAGCTAGAGGTCACAACCAGATGCCAAAGTTTCATCCCGATACGGTAACTTAATCAAAATTTATGAGTGATTTTCTGAAAATTTCAATGGGAAAATGGAGCCCATTTTTGCCCGTTTTCGGTTTCTGGTGCCATAGAGCCCCATGTGTTCGAAAACTCCGTCGGCCGCCATTTTCCCATTGAAATTTTCAGAAAATCACTTATAACTTTTGATTAAGTTATCGGATCGGGCTGAAACTTCGGCATCTGGTTGTGACCTCTAGCTCTACCTTTGGGCGGAGAATGAGCGTTCGGCGATGCCTAGTTTATTTTTGTGGTAAAAAAGACCGTGTAATTTTTTTTTTTTTTTTTGTGACAGCCTGTACTACATTATTCTTGCTGTACGCGTGGCGGTGCGCTGACTGGCGCTGACCTGACGCTGACTAAAGTACCTTCATGTTTCAAAAGTAGCACAATGTTCGTCGATGCACGAGGCACGTGCAACGTGCAGCCCTTCGGAAGATTATGGCGACACAGCGCAGCACTGAGCTAGATTTCAGATGCCATGAATTCCCCAGAAGAGGCGCGTGGCACGTGCCTCGAGC